CTACTTCCAACACTTACGTTTATTTGACAATGGAACCGCTCGCCCGATATTTGACTAGAAATCTATTCAAGTAGGATATCCGAGCGAGAATTATTTGTTATCATCACGCCCTCAGTTTATGCGAACTCTTATTATGCATCGCGGATTACGTTCTCGTGACAGCAGTATGGCTGGCTGATTATTACACAACTTTACGTTTTCCCTGTCTAGTGATCTGCTTACACTGTACTGGAGCCTACTAAGAATTCTACTGTCAAACCTGGATGGTGCGGGTACAAAACGGAGAGGTGTCGGCGCCGTCTGGGACCTGGCACTGCTGGCCTCACATATCCTTCTCTCCTCAGAACCTCAACCCGTGCAGATCCCCAGTTGGCTGACGCAACTGATCCTCCGTGATCCATTCACGGTGTCGAAGACTACCGTGACCTCTGCATCGGATCCTCGCCCCCTGCCTTCTGCGGTAACACCTTACTTGCGCCTGCTTTTGAAATTTGACCGCCTGCAAGAGGCCTACAGACTGTCGTGTGATGTTCTCACCGCAGCTTTGGGACCGGAAGCGGTGCCCTTGTTCTCCTCGGTCAAGACGGTAAGTTGTTTGGCTGCCTGCGGCCGCACTTGGTGGGGATTAAATAGTAATGCAAGATCCACACAGAGTTGTGGCATCTTGCGTTTTCTTGCCTGATGACCAGCCTTTATTTTCGGATCGTTCTGTCTCCAATTTGTATTCAGTACCTTTTTGGGAATCATACTCTGGTTAAATTATATTAGCTTACACAAATGACTTGTTGCTCAACTCAGGAATGCTGATCTGCCTCTGTCGACACTGCTTCCACTGGGCTAAGTGTGGGACACCTCAATCTAGACAAAAGAGACTGGAATGGCCATTTCTGGCTCCTTAGCCGTTTTCAGTCAGTCATGCCCAGACCCAAGTGATGTTCCACCCGCGCCTCGAACTCGCGACCTTTTTGGTCAAAGTCTAACGTCCTCTGTCGAGGCTCAAGGCAGAACGGGACAAATGGGTTCCATTAGTGGTTAGGCGAAGGTTCATCAACGAAAGACTGAATCGTTACTTAGGTGAGAGAACGTAAGGCATACTAAAGGTCTTCGTTAATGAACGCTCGCCGATTGCTAACGGTATTCAATTGTCCCGTTCTGTCTTGGGAATTACTCTTAAGCTCCGCCAGCAGCCGCACGGTGACTATAAGCGTAAGCGAATGAGCACTGCCGGCCATGTTTGTCTGTATATCTACTATCATTAATACCCACGAAGTAACTTTATAAACTCGGATTTGCGCGTTTGATTGCAGATATACAGTAGACGCCACGGATCACGCAACATTTCGACATAGGCGAAAGATTGATACTCTTTCGCTAATCGGTATCGACTCAGGTTGTATCAGTATCAGTTTATTGAGGGAAAGATAGGCGAACGCCTTTGAACTC